TTGGAAATTGAGATTTGTAAGTATGAACGTGGTAAGCTTAGATGGTGGTTCATCCTGATATTCCGTGAGTGCTCGTTCTCAAGTAGAGAGGAGTATGTCATGCGTGGGAATGGCAGGAGGTCTAGTCCATAACTGTAACTTGGACAGAACAGACTAACCTCAGGTGGCTACTGATGAGCATTCCAGTTACCCCACCTGAGTGCACGGACGCCTTAGCTACACAGGATTCATACAGTCCGGACGGTCTGTCTAGCATCAGGATTTTGGATGAAATTTATGTATGAATTGAATGTATATGTTGTGAATGTACTTTCTGGATTTGATAAGTATGAAATATCTGTTGACTTGAATTAAATTCAATAAGCTTACCCTTGCATTTTCCATTGTGTTGTCTGTATATGTATATCCGTCATGTCCTTGCAATGATCATCCGTGTGGATGTGAGCAGATGGAGATGCTTCTCTGGAGCAAGCGCTTGAAGAAGAAATTCTGATTGAAGAAAATCTAGTAGACGTGGAAGTGAAGGCCGAACAGTAGAGGCGTTCGGTTTTAGTTAGCTTAGTTAGTAGAGCGAGTGGCTGTGAGCGAGCGCTCTTTTCTGGTTGTAAATAGTTGGACGTTCGGTCATTGTTTTGTAAACCGTTCGTTCTCACTCTTTTGTGAACGCTCGTTATTTCGTGTGTATATGTAAGGCCGTTCGGCCATTTTTGCACACTGCTCTATTTTAATTGTAAAACTGTTTTATCATATTAATACATGTTAATATTCTATTATATAGTTGCTGACTGTATAAATTTTGGGATGTTACAAATAGCGTTTTAATTAATAAATTTAAATATAACAAGAATAAAGTATATCTGCAAACAATATCAAGCACAAAATATACTTCTTTTAAAAGCTTGTGGTAGTTGCCGTCCATGGTAAAAGTTTTTTATTCTTGTCAAAGGATACAAAATTTGAAAACAAAAAAAGAGGTATGATATGCCGTAGAACACAATTGTTGAAGTTGAATCGTTGCAAGTTGAAATGTTTGATTGTTTGAGTCAAATATAAAATTAAAATATTATAATTTTAAAATGTATAGTATGTTAAACTTAGCTAATATAATAATATGAATTTATACTATAAAAATTACATTTATTAAAATTAGACAAAGGAATTATAAATTGGGTAAAAAATCAATTTTTAAAACTCAAGTAAACACTTCTAGTAAGTTTTTTTTCTTTCTTCACTCTCACGTTTTGTTCTTGTACCCATATTTTTAAAATTCCAAAATTCTCGCCTACTCTAATTATATAGTTTTGGACATTACAAATTGTAGATATTCCAATTACATAATCCTATCTGATCCTACAATCCTAATGTAAAATACATTAGGTAATCCATAATACAAATTTATATTTTAAATTATATAATTTTAATGTACATTTAAAAGATAATTGAAATTTGATTAATTCCAAATCATTTAATTTATAATACAAAATTATATATTGTATAATTCGTCATGTAAATTTTAAAACAACGTCAAATTACTATTGTAAAAAAAACTTTTGACGTCTTATATTTTCGATATTCAACCTCTAATCTAGATTCGATGTCTTATAGGAAGACGTCAATTTGACGTCAGATCCCCTTCTCCGGACGTCAATTTTGACGTCGAACCTCTCTTAAACCAATGACCATTTTTTTAAAAAAATTAATTTGTTTTTACAATATTACCACACCTGAAATACCAAAAACGATTCCAACACATAAAAAAATTGTGAATGTTGCTCCTTCCACCGCCACCCTTGCTCCTTCCACCTCCCCAATTTTTTTTAGGTTTAATACCCAATTTTGTCCCCAGTTTGGTTGGGAAATATCAATTTAGTCCCTCGTTAGATAAGTAATTGAAATAGATCCTTAGTTGTAAATTTGTGAGTCAAGTTAGTCCTTTCCGTTAAATATAAGCAAACGAAGTTAATGGGATGATGACGTGACAGTAGTGGTTACGTGTCAAAATGTAATTGTGTGCGTGCTTACGTGTTGGTGAATTAGAGAAGAAAGGGTTTTATTAGAAATTGAGTTTATTTTAATTGGGGATAAATTGGCAGCAGTTAGGGTTTTTAAGTAATTTTGTGCAATTCAATAGAAACAAAGTTAAGGCAGTTGGAGTTCTTCACGTAGATTGCGAACACAGAACAGTGGTGGGTGTTCTTCTTCTTGTTGGACTTCTTCTCATTTGTGTTGTTGTTGTTTACGGGTTGTGCTTAGCTTAGTACTTGGCGGTGGTTCGTGGTTGGCGAGTTGTTCTTCCCTCTTTCGCAATTGCTTGGCTTAGTGGTTCGTGGTTTGTGGTTGTCTCGCTTTGGGCTTCACAATGTCTTCGAATCAAGGTTGTTAGTCTTGCTCATGGGAGAGCTCTCGTGGTGGTTCATCTAGACGATTTGTTGGAAGCCAAATATGCAATTGTGGGGAGGCTGCTGTGTTGAGAGTGACAAAAATAGTTAAGAACGAGGGGAAACAATTCTGGGGCTGCCCTAATTACAAGGTTCGTAGTTTAATGTTTATGATAATTTTTTTTGTTTATTAATGAAATTTTTGTGGTTGGATACTTTGAACAGCGGACAAGAAATAAAGAACTTCAAGGATGCAATTTCTTTAAATGGCATAATGAAGATTATGTAGATGATGATGCTAGTACTATTGCTTGGCAAAGGAGAAGATTAATAGCCTCGAGAAATGTGTTAGGGATTGTCAGAAAAGGGAGAAGATGTTAATATCAATGATATGTTTTCTAGGATTCATTAACATCATTCTTGTATGTATTTTGTTTAAAAGTCCATGATGTGTTCTATTAGACAGTTTATGTGAAGAGCACTTTGGGCAAATTGTAATATGATGTTTTGAAATGAATGTGAAATCTGAATTGAAGCATTTGAAATTATGGTTTCAATTTACATTTTGTTTGATATATAGAACATAAAATGAGGAAGTGGTGTGTAACTGACAATAAAATGAGGAAGTGGCTTCTGAAATTGCATTGGACTAAAGCAAGACGAAATCAAAAAGAGATTTGTGTATAATAAGGGACTTTTTAGACAGTGTCACTGTAAGGAACTTTTTAGACAGTGTCATTGTTTGTATGATAATTCAAGAACAAATCCACTACACTTTACTGTGAATAAATTATANTGTATGTATTTTGTTTAAAAGTCCATGATGTGTTCTATTAGACAGTTTATGTGAAGAGCACTTTGGGCAAATTGTAATATGATGTTTTGAAATGAATGTGAAATCTGAATTGAAGCATTTGAAATTATGGTTTCAATTTACATTTTGTTTGATATATAGAACATAAAATGAGGAAGTGGTGTGTAACTGACAATAAAATGAGGAAGTGGCTTCTGAAATTGCATTGGACTAAAGCAAGACGAAATCAAAAAGAGATTTGTGTATAATAAGGGACTTTTTAGACAGTGTCACTGTAAGGAACTTTTTAGACAGTGTCATTGTTTGTATGATAATTCAAGAACAAATCCACTACACTTTACTGTGAATAAATTATACAAGACTCTGTTCAAGTTGATAATGCACATCTATTCATAATTACATCATAATGAAAAGAAAATCTGTCATTGAGATTACAAAGTGGACTTCAAATGCACGTCTGACAGTTTACAAAATATCCAATTCAAAATTGGTCTCAAAATACATGTCAAGGTTTACAAAATAGCCATCACTTAAGCTAAACATACTTAACCTAAACATAAAGTCAATACTAAATCACTTTTAAACTTGTGTTGTAGATGGCTGAGTTTGTTCCAATACGCATTGAGTAAGCTGACTTGGTCCAGTAGTTGGCTGACTTTGTTCAACTTGGGTTTGAGGTTGCTGAGTTGATTGATATTGACTTTGGTTTGTTGGAGGAGCTTGTGGACAACTATTTGTTTTATGACCAAGTTGTCTATGTATGGAACATCTCTTACGAGTTCCATTTTGCTTGAGTTGTGTATCATCCTTCTTTAGCTCCCAAGCCTCTAGCCTTCTTTTCTTTTTGGTCTACCAGGCAACACTCTTTTAGCTGGAGGCAAAACATCAAGCTGAGAAGTCATTTCCCATAGCTGAGGACCATTGACAGGGTAAATGATTGGAATGTATGTTTCTTGGTATGTTGACTTTGTAAACCAATGTGGGACGTAGTCTTCTCCATTGATTTTGATAAATGTCATGGCAGCTAGTGCATGACAGCTAGTGCATGACAGCATGGGATGGCTGTTAAAGTCCACTTTCTGCAACTGCATTCCAGTTTATATATGTCAACCACATACTTGTCACTCATCATTGAAATGTGTCTGACCTCAACATTTTTTTGTCCTGACCAACTACAATGATAAAAAAAGAAATCAGTATTTATAGTACAAAATTGAATACATAAAGAAGTCCATATGGTAATGTAGTCATGTCGACATACCTAGGTATCCAATATTTAGTCAAGTGCAATTCCTTTTCAAATCTGTTTTTAATCTTTGGGCAAAGACTACCTTCATATGTAGTTATTTTGTGTCTATTTGTTGCCCATCTCTTCATGAGGTACATACGAATGTCTTCCATCATTGTGATGATGGACTTACCTCTTGCATGTAATATTACACTATTAAATGCTTCAGACATATTATTCACTAAGGTGTCACAAACAGCATTACTTGTAAACCTTGACCGTGACCAAAATCTACTTAAGCAAATAAGAAGTGAAAAATATCAGCTACGAAAACAAACAAAAGTAAATAGGAACAATGAATTTTAAAGGCATCTGGATTGACATACCTTAGTGGAATGGCTAGTAAGTATTTAAAGGCATCTGGATTCACCTCTTTAATTTCTCTCATCACTACCTCCCATCTTTGAGGGTGTGTTAATGTTGTTGCCTTCCATAATAGACGTTTTATAATTTGGCCAAGAAACCTCTTCCTGAAATTAGCATAAATGTGGCGCACACAAAACCTTTGCTCCACACCAGGAAGAAGTTCTTGTAATGCTGGTAAAAGTCCCTATTCAAGTAAAAGCATAAAGGTATACAAGTTAAAATAAAACACACGAAGGTTTAAAAGATAAAAAAAATGCAATGGGCTATGTTACTCACTTTTTGTTGATCTGAAATAAATGTAATGGTTGAAGAAAGCTCCACACCACCAAGATCATCAATGAACAATTGTAAAAACCAACCCCAACTGTCCTTATTCTCCACCTCCACAACAGTATATGCCAAAGGACACATTTGGTCATTCCCATATCTTGCTACTGCAGTTAACAACTCACCTCCATATTTTCCTTTTAAGAAACAACCATCCAAACCTATAATAGGCCTACATTACACGAAGCTGTCCTTACAGGCCTTCAAACACACATATAGTCTCTTGAAAATTGGAGTGTCCTCAATAAAATAAACATAAACTTTAAAAGTTGAACCAGGATTTGACCGAAGCAACTCATTGGCATAGTCATACACTCTTCTATATTGTTCTTTAAAATCACCTTCTATTTGTTTAAAAGCCATTGCTTTTGCCCTAAAGGTTGTGGACAGAGAAACACCAATGTTCCACTTCTTAGAAACTTTGTTATGGAGGTTATACAAATTAATATTGGGATTCTCTTTTATAGTCTTCTCTAACCTCCCACTCAACCATTTTGAAGTCATTACACGAATGTTAAATTCTCTACTGCATGTGTGCTTGTCTATAATTTTCCTTAGCTGCCATGTATTTTCAGTTGTCTTATATGCACAATATGCATTCCAAGGACATTTCCCTTTTGCCCCACAACATCTGACACAAACTCTTCTTTTGTCATTTTTATAAACTTTTAATTTTCTACCATTATCTACTCCATAAGATCTTATAGCTTCTGTAAAATCTTTTTTCTCAGTGAAGTACGTGCCCACTTCCCATTTATATTGTTCCATACTTTTGGGAATTGAAAAAACACCAAAATCTCCATACCCATCCCTATCATCATCTGTGTTCTCACTTTCCAGAACACTGTTCAAACTCTCGGATTCCCAATCACTATCAGATAAACCCCTAGGTCCACCAAATTGAACTTGATTAATAGCTTCAAATATATCAAATCCCACTTCATCTCCATGGTCAGTCAATACATCCTCTTCGGACCCATTCACACTTCTAACATCATACTCATCAGCTTCTACATCACCCCGACGTTGTCCTTGCACACCATTACCCTCTACCTGCCCCTCTACATCAGACTGCCCGTCTACATTCACACCAACATGCATGTTTCCCTCAGCATCTGACTCACTCTCTGCCTCACCCTATGCCTTCACACCATCATCCTCTACCTCAACTTCTCCCTCAGGCTGTACATCAACCACTGCCTCTGTTTGTAATTCTACCACAGCTCATACATTAGCCAATACATCAACCTCAACTTCTACCTCACCTGCTACGTCTAATTCAGGTTCTACTTGAGGTTGTACATCAACCACTGCCTCTGTTTGTACTTCTACCACACCTTGTACATCAGACACTACATCAACCTCAACTTCTATCAATTCTAGGGCTACTTGTAATTCAGGTTCTACCTGAGGCTGTACATCAATCACTGCCTCTGTCTGAACTTCTACCATAGCCTCTACATCACCCACTACCTCAACCTCAACTTCTATCTCAAGTGCTACTGTTTGAACCTCTGCTTCACCCACTGCCTCAACATCTACTTCACCAACCTCTATCTCAACTTGCTTTTCAGCACTCTCTTTCTCAACTTGTCCTTCACCACTAGGTTATCAATTTGGGGTTCAAAAAAATATTTCAACTCTAGAAGATACTGAGGTTCACACACTATGTGTATAACATAAAGGTGAGCTTCACCATTCAACATAGCAATATTGATCACATGACAAGCACCTTTGTCATC